CAAAATGAGTAGCAGCACAAAGATAGATAGATAGATAGATAGATATAACAAAGCCTGAAATCAAATCAAATATTTTGTATGGGAAATATAGAGTAAGTAAGAAATTATAAGTAGCATGTAAAATCGGACCATGATGCTTCAATTCCCCTGGTGGCGAGGGAGATCGAGTCGACTCTCTTTTTCTTCTTCTTCTGGGGAGGCGGCGGCCTGCAGAAGTAGAACCCAAGCTCTTTATAATTTAATTAAGGAACCTGCTTCTCTCTCAGCTGCAGCTGGTTGTATATATAGTCTTCTGCTGCTGCTGCTGCTGGGGAGAAGAAGAAATGCTTCAGCTTCAGCTCCAGCTCCAACTTCATGTTGTTGGTCTTGGTGGTCATCATGGAACCCATATGTATGTGTCTGATGATGATGATTCTTGGTAGCTAGCTTAGCGAGGAGGCTGCTGCAGATTGTTGGATAATCGATGCGCCTTCTCTCTCTCTCTCTCTCTCTCTCTCTTGCTGGGCCGCCTCCAGAATCGAGATGTTGTCTGGAAGTAGTACTATAGAGGAGAGGAGAGGAGAGGAGAGGAGGGTTAGGGGTGGGTGAAGAAAGTGATGTATGATGATGATGATGAGGGAGGAAGAGAGTGAAGAAGAGAATAATTATGGCCCGGCCCGGGGGGAAAGGATATACACAACGACATGATGATTGCTGCTGCTGCTGCTGCTGCCCTCTCTCTCTCTCTCTCTTGCACACAACACAGGTTAACCCCCCGCAAATTCTGTGCCTCCACCTTTGACTTCCTTGTGCAGCTGGCTGGGGAGTAACTATCTTTTTTTTTTTACCGGTTTCTCGATGAACAAAAAGTGCAACGAAGTGGTATTGGTATATACAGGAGGTTTTTGCAGTACAACTTGAGATTGACATTTAACGTTATGGTACAGTTTCAGATTGTATCTATACTTTTTGTACAAATTTTTTTATGGTACAACTTAAATTTGTACCTTATGTGATGGTACAACTTCAAGTTGTAAAGTTGTATATAACATTTAATGTTATGGTACAACTTAAAGTTGTACATTAAAGCACCAATGCTATATAGCATAGTAGAAGTGCTCATATATAGATTATGTATTAGAATGTTAGTTTAATTGTGAGGTTACGTGTTCAAGTATTCAATGCTCTTAATATTAATGGTTGATTTAAACCATATTACATGATAGATATGCGCAAAATAATCGACACTTTTTTTTATTTCTACTTAATAGTTATTTTTCTCTCTAGTTTGATAAGTAATTTTTTTATATGCGCCCCCCACCTTTGCCACATTGTTATTCCTGTAAGCAATGGAATTTCACGAGGATAGTTTGATGAACTTTGGTGTGTGATATCGATTGATTGATTTGCGCTCCGATTTTTTTGGATGATAGTTATTGAAACATAATTCATAGCTATTCAAACACAATTTTGATGAGGGGGTGTTTGATGTATATGAAATCTAAATTGCACGAAATAATGTACCAAATTAAACACACCTAGAGAAGACATGTATACCATTGTTAACGTACGTTTTACTGATTCAATATCGCAAAAGCTTTCGACAGTCAATTTTTTTTTTTTATAACTTTTACTAGAGAGCAAGCAAGCTAGCATTGCAACGGTGCCCAAGAATCTCACCAATGAAACAGAACTCCAAGCACAAAAGTTAAACAAAGCGTTCTGCAAATCATAACTGCTTGTGTACGTAGCATACCTATTTTGTGTTGGCTGATTGATTCCATATATATTTATGTACATATGGCAAGAGTTGCTAGTTTGCGCTAAAGCGGCACTTGGACAGTAAAACCGTACCCTAGCTAGACACATAACATACATTTTAACGAATATGATGTGGCCACAGCTTACACAACTCCATATCATATATGTGTGCAACTAGAGGTGGCAATTTCAATCCAATCCACCAATCCAATCCATCAATCCATTAAAAATATCCACCTAATCCAATCCATTTAAATCCAATCCATTTTATCCAAATCCAATTGGATTGGTGGATTCATGGATTGGATCCATGGATCATTGGCAAATTACGGTTTAGTACCTATAATTTTTATTTTTTTACATTTTGGTACCTAAAATTTAATTTTTTATACGAAAAATATCATTGGAAAATTACGTTTTGGTACCTAAAATTTTTCATTATGACATTTTAGTATCTTAACTTTTTACATTTTACATATTGGTCCTTGGTTGAGGATGTCATTTGGATTTATGGATAATCCACCAATCCACTTGATCCAATCCATGAATCCACCAATCCATTAAATCCAATCCATTTAATCCATGGATCCACCAATCCAATCAACCAATCCAATCCATTTGCCACCTCTATGTGCAACGCTAGCGGATAAGTTATTTTCCTTTTTTTTTACGAAGGTAAATCTTGCATTATGCTATTAACAATCGGTTACGGAGAGGAACAAACAGGAATACACGGGATCCAAAACAAGAGTCAAGTGTTCCAGAGCAATCGGTTGATAACAAACCATGTTTGAGCGATACACCAAAGAAGAGCAAAACAAAGAACGAAATGAACTACCCAAGGAGCTGAAAACTTTGACCCAAACACAGAATACACAGAACCCCTCTCATAGTCATTTCCAAACCAACCATAGTAGCAACAAGATCAAAGCCAGCTCGTTCGATAACAGCGAATTCCATGGCGACTGAGCACAATATTGCCATATGCCACCTCCTCCAGATTTCTCAAAGACATCCATCACACGGTGAATCTTGGGAACGAGATTACATGGCGGTTGACAAGGATGTGCAATAAAGGCAGTGACATCGAGTTCATGAGAGCATAAGGTCCTAACCGAACTCACCAAACTCCAAGAAAAATACCGAGCGGTTGCGGCACTCTGACGAAGAAGACTCTACCCCTCCACAATCTGACGACGACCTACCTTTCTGCTTTCTGCACGAGAAACCTTCCATTGCTATTTTTGAGAGGTTTGAACAAGATTCAGTCAAGATCGTGACTCTATTTAGAATCATTTTGATGACCTAGAACTACAAAAAAAAACGTAAGCTTTTAAAGTGCGATTTTGATTACACTTGTCTGTAAAATGCGTAATTTATCATAGAAGTATTTTAGTAATCTGAAAGCATAATATCTCAGACTTTTAACTTTTAAAATGTGATTGTCTACATTGATTAACATACACCGAGCGATTTTTTGTTTTGTTTTTTGTCATCTCCAACTTTATAGTCGTTTCAAGATGACGATAATAATGACGAGACGTAGTTGTAACCGGCACGAAATATATATACTGGCCGGATGGATATGGGTTCAGTACGTAGTATTCCACGGCCCGCGGGAGCCCTAATAATAAGTGCATTGTTTGCGGCCCTGATCAGCTTTTGCTTCACTGCAAAAAAGATATAAGATGTATCCACAGAAACAAAAGAAAAGCAAGTAGCGATGCAGAATGAAGTGGACGAGATCGAGGTGCATGAAAAAAAGAGGTATTATAACGCGGCCGGCCGGCCCATACAAATTATATGCATGCTACCAACTTTAGAAAAACACTAGCACAAAGGTACATACTTTAACCAGCCTTTTATTTCCCACTGGTTATTGGTGTTATTATATCACGCATGCAGAGTTGCATACAACATTTCAATATGTTAAAGTGCAGCTAACTCTCTGCGTATTGATTAAGATGATTAGCTACCCCTAACAAATAAAGGTCTTGTGATATCTTATGCAAAAAGCTATAGCGTTTGTTAATCTCACTCAAAGATATGCTTAGCCATGAAGTAATCAAATCTGTTGTTCTAGTCCCCATCCACCTACTTTGTGGAATTGGATTGGTATCCCGGTATGATATTTCTGTCTCTTTTTATTGTTTATGGGGTGAGGAGGGGCGTAAGCAGGATTTCGTCTAATGCTTGATTCATTTATTAAAAAATACATAGGATAAATAAGATTTTGTTGATTTTTAATCATTGATTCTCAATTAAACACTTTTTAACTTTCATTTATAATTAACTATTATACCTAATCTATCCATTTTCCTCTCAAGGACAATCTTGTTACACTCTCCTTCGCTTGGTTGAAATAAAGATTTTCTTTTTTACAAATTAGCTATGATATTGGAGGAATTTATTGGTGATATTGACTAAGTACCATTAATTTTGAGTGGATAATATGCGTCTCAATAAATAATTTGTAAATTACACATATAATATTTGGAAGGTCAACCATTCTCAATTAAACACATCCTAACTTTTATTATTGATTAATTATTATACCTAATTTATCATAGTTTCCTACATACAGGTTTGGTCACGAGACCCACCTAGCTATTACACTCTCCCTCCGCCCATGGGTGTGAATTTGAGTTTGAAACTCCCAAATATAAGATTTAACCCTGCAATGTTACATGTGCCATCTATGACTAGGAGAAACTCACCATTTGTGGAAAACAAAAGTGGTCACAAAACCTCCAAAAAATGTCGCAATAAGATTGGTAATGGAACTCCATTATAAGTGCAATGCATTTCTTTCTTCCAATCTTTAAAAATCTTTGGACCATTCAAGAAATTGAAATAATAGTATACGAGTGATATTTTTAGCTATTATTAATGAAGGTAATAAAATATATTTTCTAAGAAACGCGTGGGTTACTAAAACACAACTTCTTACTATTTTACCTAAAAGAATGCCATCCCAGGCATTGATGGCCACGATTTACGGTCATCAGAGTGGTTGTTTATGTTGTGTTGGCTTAAGAAATGGCGACAATTTGTGTAAATGATCATCCGTATACAAATATACACATGAAAAGGGTCGTCTAGTAGATTTTGGCCTACGTAGCGATTGAGTTGTGTATTCGAGTCCCGGTTAAACTAGGATTATACCGCTACAAACTATTGCCTAACTTAGCTGGGAGGAAAAGGTAAAATGAGTTGCCTTCCAAAAAATTTGAAACCCCCAATGGTTTCTAAAATACAATGATTGTGATTCCATTTTATGGGGCAACAAAGAAAGGTCCAAACTTTGGAATCAAATTAATTCCTTTTGCTTATTATAGGGTAGCCTTAGCCTGTCCTGTATCTGTATGCCCCCGCCATCGCATCCCAGTCCAATCCTTGCCTGCCTTTCAGGGCTCCACCCAATGTCAAACTTCAAACATCCCATCACTAATTACTTGACAAAATATATATATATATTCACTTTTACTTTTTTTGCCCTAAGTGGTTAGGGCATAGTCAAACCAATCACCGCCTGACACGCAAGGCTCCATCCAGAAGCTTGATTTGGGGTGGCAATGAGAATGTTGCGCAAGAGCTGTGGTTTGGTCGAAGAGTAGAATAAAATTGGAATTTCTAACCGGTCAACAGGAAAACCTAAGTCAAAATCGACGAGGTTATTGGCCCTTTTCCTGTCGGGCTCCCCACTTCTGCGGTAAATTTTGAAACAGCGAGCAAGAATCCAAACGGGTTATATATGACTAGTACTCATTCAAATTTCCAATCTTATCATAATGGAATCGAAGCGTAAACCATTTTAATGATTAGTTTATAATTTAGTGCTTCGATCGTTAAAATACTGTTAGTTAACCGATATCTTATAAACAAAAATATTATAAATAGAACATAAGAATGTACAAATTTCAAATATAGTTTTTAAAAGTAATAATTAAATTATTCAAATAAAATAGAAGTAGTTTTTTACTATTAGAGGCAGCACAAATGTAACTCAGCAAGGGCAATTAAATGGGGAGCATTTAAATATGATACGGGAGAGTTACGTAATAAATAAATACGTATATGTTTTTTAATTCGTCTCTAAACTCATATTAAATTTAATAGTACGTTAAAAATCATAAATGTATAAAATTAATTATTTTAAAAATAATGAATATATAAATAATAATAAGAAAGTTAGTAATTTAGTTCATTAAACACGGATGTTAAACGTATTATATGGGTTTTATACGTGTTTAGTACGGTAGCCATCAAATGAACGGAAAAAATGAACTAGCTTGACAGTAATACGGATACGAAAGTTTTAAACGGATAAAATACGTACGGGTACATATACATGTATTAAACATAGTATTTATTAAATACTACATGGAGAATTAAATGGGATTTTTAAATCTACATGTTTATAGTGGAATGGAAAACTGGAACCCTAATTTTAAATTTATTGGCCTCTGAGTGATTATAGGAAAGTTATTTTCATAACTACGCCCAATTTATCTGTATATATTTAAAATGTGTGATGAGATAGCAAGACTATCCCTAAAGGGGTTGGAAAATAACACCCCTATTAATTATAAGTTTTTAATTATTACATTTGTGGTGCATTAAATAATATGTGAGAATTAAAAGTCCATATTAATTAATATGATGTAAATATTAATATATGGATGACCTTGACCTATTAGATTACCACATTAGAAGCTCACATGAGAGTAACATGTAACCCCCTTTTCCTACATTTGAATTCTCTATTATGTCTCATTATCTCTCATTTATATGTATTGATATTAGAATATAGTGGTTACCAAAGTGTGCCTATAAATAGAGCACATCATTGTATCACTAGTTAAGGATGAATAAGAAAGTTATCCCCCCCTTCTCTTCTTTTGTGTCTTCCTCTCTAATCTTCTCTTGTAGTTGTTTATATTTTCCATTAGTTTTATAACACGTTATCAGCACGAAACTCTGTTTAAATCACGGTTGGTCATTGTCTCTCTACATAATCTAATATATTGGAGTAAGATCACAATATGATCAAGGTATGCAAATCTTCATCTTCTTTCTTACCTTATTGTCTATTTGTGTTGAGATTATCTAATTCCAATATATCAAGATGGATGCTACTCTTTTCTCGTAGTAGACCATCCATTTGATATTTTATCACGTACACATATTTGGATTGAAATTTTGGGTTGTGTAATTTGATTTATATTATAATGTGTTTTTACAATACATATACCGATTCCTTAAAATTAAAATTTTGTTTTGACACTATCGCAAATTAAAATATGCTCATGTAGTAGCAAAGACAAGAAAAGTAATAATATAAGTGGCGAGTTAATTTCTCAGTTCTGTGTGCTATCCTATTCTTATCAATCGTACATTGATATGTAGTAAATGCAAGTTCCAAGAGCCCAGATATTCCCCAGAAGTGGAAATTGCAGGATCTAAGGGCAAAGAAAGAAGTGCACATGGTAATTAACAAGAATATTGGTTATTATGTTACCATTGTAATAAGAAAATGCGCTTGTCTCGTACTCATTGTACGTGACTCGCTAAAACACAACACCAAACTACGACCAAGTGTAATCGCAGTTTAGAAATGCAGTAGAGTGGGTTCAGTTTTAATTGTCAACACGGGTCCTAGATTTACTATCTGCTCCGTGAATATCTATTATCTAGCGGTTGAGTTTGAGTGAAGTTTATCAAAAGCAAAAGCAAACAGAAAGCAAGTAACGGTTGTATTCAAATTAAGAAGGCTCACTCAAGTATAAGTCCCCTAGACCGCAGTTAGGCCAAATTGTAATTCACATAAGTTAATCTGATTGATGTTTAAACTGCGGAAAGTTCTCAAACAGTCTAGAGTCTCGACTAAAGTGCTCCAAACCCTCTCAGTTTGAATACCCAGCGGGCGACTAGCCTCCACCTGTGTAAGCTAACTGAGGCAATAAGATTCAAACATCCTCGTGGCTTGAATCGAGCTCCAATGGTGGGGAAACTTGATCTAGACACTAAAGGTTCACTCTTCATCACTTTATGTCTCTAAACTTCTGTTTTCCAGCTCCAAAATCGAATGTCGTTCAATTTCCCGTCTCCAACTTGTAACAGCCCGAGTTAGGCATCCCTGGCCCGATTCCCCGATCAGGTATTTGGAGGCAAGACTTGGATTTTACCCAAAATGCAGCGCAGCGGCTCACACAATCATGCAGGAATCCTCGGTCTCGAATTGGAATCCCTGATCGGGGATTAAGGGTTATAAACCGGGAGTATCCTGGATGCCTTATCCGACCTCAGATGAAATTCTCCGGTCGGGGGGGTCAGATGATCGGACTAGGGTTTTGGTCCTCAAGCTCCACTTTTCGTCCACTCTGTGTTTTTTTCCCGAAACGCGTTCCTAAGCCTGCACAACTAACAAGGAAGGTAATTTTTTTTGAATGGATTCAACGAAAAAAATTTAAATGACAAAAATGATTTTTTAATGCAATTGTAAATGATATTTTTATATTCATTTCACATTTTTTGCAATTCAACTCAATTTTATTTCATTGTATCAATTCCAATTGCATACATGAGGGTTTAAATGACTTTATAATAAATAAAATAAGATAATAAAATAATTTTTTTATTTTCCTATGTTGCTTGCGTATTCAATTTCACTTTAATGCAAATTTACAATTTTTGCAAGTGCCCACTATATTAGTGCAATCCCCTCTACAATTGTACATCGACTGCCATGTATGATTTGCAATTGAGCAAAATTATGTGGATTCTCTTGATTAACTAATTGTGCAAAACCGACTTATTCAAAAAGCAATATATATCCAACGGCCAGCAAGAAAGAAACACCCCATCTCCTCTCTTGCACATTATGGACCGCACTCGTGTCCCTCTCCTGAACGGACGGCGTGGATGTGCCGTTGAAATCGGGGTTGCTGCCGTACAACTGCAGCAGTCGATGTCGTCCTGCGCCAATTCAACCTTTCTAGTCCCCGGACCAATGCTCGGGAACATGATCGCCGATTCATCGGACGAGTGCCCCAAACCCAACAAATGCCCGATCTCGTGCACCGCCACCGACTCCAGATCCACGGCTTCCGTCGCCACTTCGATGTCGCCGGAAAGCACCCAGTTCTCGGCCTCGTCGAGGTGGAGCCGCCCGCTCGGCGGCTCGAGCGCGTGGGCCAGGGTCCCCGAAACGCCGTCGAACGCATCCCCGTCGCCGTGGTCGCCGCCAAAGAACCCAACCCGGATGTCGGTGTTGCTGTAATCCTCCGTCTCCGTGAAAGTCAACGGCGCAACCTCCGACCAGCGGTGGAACGCGGCGGCGAACACGCTCTTCACCTCCCGCGACACCTGATTTCTCGGGAAGAAAGAGTAGGTCAGGTTCCGACGACTCACCGGCCACCGGGGCATCCCTGGGAAGAACGAGTACCGCTCCACCGCGTGGATGCGGCCGGTCGTGTTCGCCGGCGTTCTCCCGCCGGATTTCATCGTCGTGGAGCCGTTGACTATGTCGGCGTTGCCGCATCTGGGAAGCACGATCTGGCGGATCGTCCGGTCGTCGAGCTGGCCGGTGACGTTGAGATTGAAGTTCCGCTGGTAAGTCTCCACCGCCGATTCGAGCGAGTTGTCGAATAGATCGGTGAGGTTGCCGTCGGCGTCGGGGATGTAGCCGAAGTGGCGGAAGTACTTCTTGAGCTTAGACAAGCCGTCCAGCTTCTCGCCGGCGCGGCAGCCGGTGAGGTTTCGGAAGGAGTTCCAGGCGGTGGTGAAATTGGGGTTGAGAGCAGGGAAATTGCGTGGGATTGAGGATGTGTTTGGGAAGAACCTGCAGGAAACTGGAGGCGGGAAGGAGGAGAAGATTAGCAGAGATGTAATGACGGGGAAGATTATCTTTTTGAATCTGAACTTCATAGTTCTGTAATTTTAATTTTAGAACAAAAGATTGATTTGGGGGGCAGTCGCCAGTGCGTATTGATGATGATGAATTTCATTATCAGATTTATAATGCGTTGGACAGTGAAATTAATAAAATAAAGAGACTATGCCGTATGATTGAACACTCTGATTGGGCTCAAGATTGGGTGCATAACCATGGGTTATGCATCCATCAATAATCAAATCTGAACCCTTCATTTAGAAAATCCAGATCTAAGGATGGAAAATTAAGGACCATTTTTATGTTTCCTAGTTTTCTTAATCGGCTCATATCTTTTTCGTTTTAACTCGGATTTTAATTTTTTTTGCACAGATGAAACGAGTTCATCGTGCTCTACCAAATGAGAAAAATTTTCAATATTTTTTTTAGAAAAAAAATTCTGGCCTCTCTGTACCAACTGCATACCATATAGTATCTTCTTCGTTTTTAATTCGTTTTTGAAAAAGTTTGCACAGAAGGGACGAGTTCATCATGATCTATTGGATCTACAAATTTCAGGGTGAACAAATTACAGGACCAAAAAATACCACACAATACCATACAATACCACCCTGGTACGGGGTGGTATTGTATGGTATCTTCTTCGTTTTTGAAAACGTTTGCACAGAAAGGACGAGTTCATCATCATCTATTGGATCTACAAATTTCTGGGTGAACAAATTACAGGATCAAAAAATACCACACAATACCATACAATACCACCCTGGTACGGGGTGGTATTGTGTGGTATACAATGTTAAAGGTCGTAAATGACAATTAATATACTACTACTATCATGTATTCAACCATCTTACAGTCTTGGTTTGTTCATACCACCATGGTACGTTTTTCAAACCATAGGTATGCTTTTATTTCAATACCAGTCAATACCATATGGTATAGACTGGTAAAAAATGGCTCGATTTTTTTTGTTCGAAAAATATATTAAAGTGGATATCATTTTGAAGAGCACAATTAATCTGATCTAACTGTGCAAAAAAAATTAAATTTCGACTTAAAATGAGTGAGAAATCATCCGCCAAAGATTAAAGAGGGTAAAATTAAAGGCTTTCCAGGAGAGAGAGGATGCTTATGTCATGCTGATGTGGGCTGGTTACTCATGATTACTCACCACAAGGTTAACGATCTGATCCGTTCCCCTCTGTTTGGGAAGAGGGTAAATGGGAAGAGAGTGCAAATGTGAGGGGTAAACACAGTTTCCAACACATTTGCACCTGTTTGGTTAATTTGGAACAGTAGGGGGTGCAAGGGAAGGAAGGAAGAGAGGGGGAGGGGGAATTATGGAATTTTATTTTTCTAATTGTGTTATATATAATTATATAATAATTAATATTATCAATTTCTTCTTTTTATAAATATCATTAATGTAAACATTATTCGGGGTTGACCATTTGACTATGGAAACAAGTTATCAATGTTCGTCAAGTCAAATCTAAATCTCTTGGTTGAATCGAATTTGCATTGAAAATTAGATATACGAGGTGTTTGTGGAAAAGATAGAGAGAAATTGTTTGGTTAACTCAATTTATTTGACTAAATAGTTAAAACTTGTAAATTCGAACGTGTTTGACTAAGTTTGACAATTTAAGATTAAACTAGACACGAAAACCCTATATAGGATGACCAGTTACGAGTTGAGCTTCGAGTTTTGAGATCGCTCGATCAATGATTATTACAATTGTTATAATTAATTATTATTTGAGCATTATTATATAATAACTAATTTTAGTAAAGTATATTTATTATTATATAGTAATATTTATTTTATTATTTTATGATAATATTTTAAAATTTTAAAATCTATTTTAAAATCTTAAAATCTATTTTAAAATTTTAAAATCTACTTTAAAATAATATAATTACTTACTTTTCACTCTATTTGCACCCTCCTACTTTTTCATCCAAACAACAATTTACCCCTCCACTTACAACTTCAGCAATTTGCACCCCCAACAATTTACCCCTCAACTTGCACCCCTGCAATTTGCACGCTTTATTGCCAAACAGAGCAAGGATTTAATTTTTATTTTATACTAGTTTTTCTACCCACGCGGAACGCGCGATGATAGTCAAATTTTGGACGCTATTCGTATTTGTTTTGTTTTCATGCAGTGGAAATCAAAAGATGTGAGTTTTTTTTTTTAATTATATATAGCGTATATGTACAAAATTTATATGCTCCAAATTACATCTTATGCTTGGCATGTAGTACTACAAATTTAAGAATGTGCAAGTTGATGTGTAAATTGTAAGGGGGGTGTTAGTAAATGAAAAAAAATGTTGTTTGGAAGAAAAGTAAATAGTTCAAATACGATAAAAAGTAATAAATTTAAATTATTAAAAATATAGAATTTGTAAAAATAATCAGAAAAAATCACATAAATAAAAACTAGAATAAGAATTCTCAAATAATACTCATAGAAATTAATACATATGCTTCAATAAACATAGTTATCAAGACGATAATGATCAAATAGTAATTAATTATATATTTTTTTGTGACGATTGTCTAGACATATTTGTTGTTTTTGTCAACAAATCATGCATTGATTTGTTGATATGATGGTTATATGCATTAGCATGGTGAGTACCACAAGAGAGTTTTAATTGTAGTTGTTGAAGGACTAAGATTGTCCTTTAATTACATTTCGAGTATGTCGGTCGACAATCTTTTTTTTATGGCTTAGAGTAAGGATGAAGAATGATATTTTTCTATAGATTTTTTATCGTGTTTTTTATAATACTTCAAAGTTTAGAGTTCTCTAAACCCAAACCCGAAGTCCAATTTAATGGAAAACTATAATCGACCGTTGAGATTGGTCAGAGCTCATTCAAGTAGAACTAACGACAAGATCACGTGGAGTATACTAATCATATATCTCCACCGTCCGCGTCCATCTCAACGGGCAGCATAAATGAGGTCATTTATTTTTTAATCCCACAAAAAAGAACCTGCATTAATGCTGGCCGTTGAGATGGATGTGGACGGTGGAGACTGCTGGTGTACTACATACCCCAATATATGTCTAGTGTACGATAGAAGTCACCATATATGGATAATTTTATCATACACCAGACAAAACTTGGTATATGTCGTACACCAGGTAATCTTCACTATATGCGTCCATCTCAACGGGGCAGCATAAATGAGATAATTTATTTTTTAATCCTACAAAAAAGAACCGGCATTAATGCCAGCCGTTGAGATGGACGTGGACGGTGGAGATTGTTGGTGTATGGCATACCTCAATATATGTCTGGTGTACGATAGAAGTCACCATATATGTATGTGTGTATATATATGCGCATTGTATCTCACGTCAAAAGGAAAAAAATATTTGCTAAAGATCATGATTATCTTTTGGTATTTGTGATACATTTTGTTAGGCAAACTTTTTTATTTCATTTTTATTTACAACCATAGATAACTAAATGATTGCATTGTTAAATAGATAGGTCATGAATATTATTCACAAGTGCTATAATCATTAAGAATTTAACATTCGGTTATTGATGTAATAGTATGATGATATTAAAAATAAAAAATAATTTCAAAATCATATTAATGTCATATAAAAATAAAAAATCCTTAATACTTTTATAAAATTAGGATAGACATTATAAATGTAATGTGTTCATATAATATTCCAACCAACGTGTCGGGCACCTAACTAATTACTAAAAATAAATGAGCTCAGAAATTGCTGATTAAACATGATAGCTCGTCTCATAACGGTTAGAAGTTAAAGGTTAAGTACCTTTTTGTAATAAGCCATGTACATAATTTTCTTTTTCTGACATTGGTTAGGACTTGGGGTGGCCGAGAATATATGTGTTGGTGAAGGGCTTCGGCCTATGTAAGCTTCTCTGAACGTGAATAAGAGATCACAACCTTCTCCCGTGGACTAGTCCCAACGATCATCGTTGGGGAAATCACGTAATCTCTGTGTTTTGTGTTGCGTAATCTTCCAAGTTTGATTATATTGACATGGTATCAAAGCCTCTCTGAAATTTTCGTGAGTGTTTTGTGTGCTTGTTAGCTATCTGCCGTTTGTGGTTTGTGCAGACTCTTCTAGGTTGGTGTTCTTCGGCTGCCGTTCTTGTTCTCAGCAGCTCTCTCATTTTTTTGGGGTATTTTTCCACTCTGGTTCCGGCCAGCTATCTCTGGTTTTCTTTTATTAGCGGCTGACTCAGGTTGTTGGGGTCTTATCTTGGTTATTTTGGGCTTTTCTTCCGCTTGCGGTATTGTGTGATTGGGGCCTCTTTTTTGGGGTGTCTATTCTCCAGCCTCCGCGTTGCTTTTTTGGGGTTCCTTGTATTGCTGCTAGGTTGTTGTTTGTGACTTCATGGAGGGCTCGAAGTTGGACGTTGTGTCTGCTCGCTTGAATGGAAAAAATTCCTGCTATGGGAGATGCAGTTTCGGGTGTATGTACAAGTGCAGTGTCTCCTGCCAATCTTGGATGGGTCATCTCCGGAGCTGGGTGAATCTGCCTCGGCGAAGACTCACACCGATTGGGCAATTGAAAATGCTCAAGTTATTTCCTGGATTCTAAAGTCGGCGGAGCCATCCATGGCTTCCATCGGCCGTGGGGATGTGCAAGCACCTCTGTGATATCCACTCGCAGGCTAACGCTTCTCGTAGTTTGAACTCGAGGTCAAAGTTGCCTCGTTAGAGCAAGGAGAATTGGATTCTAATCATATTATCAAGCTGCTCTCAACTTATAGACCGAACAAGATCTCTTAACAGCTTCCTTGGTGTCGAGTGCTGCTTCAGCTAAAGTCCTCAAAGATGGCGCTACTTCTCTCCTTATGCATATCTTAATAAAGCTTAATCCTGCTTTTGAGGGGATTCGGTCTTCTTTGCTTCATCGAAATATTTCCACCATTGAGGAGGTGTTGGGTGAGCTGGTTCGTGATGAAACCCGCCTGCGTAGTCAGGCCAAACTTGATCTCCATACTTTTGATTCGGGCGCGACATTTGCGGTGCAGTCTAGTCGTCCATAGTTTGGACGTACTCCCTCCGGAAAAATCATTTGCTATCACTGCAAGCAGCCTGGTCACGTTCGAGTTCGCTATCCCAAACATGTGGCATGCAACTATTGCAAGGACTCGGGCCACGTGATTGGCCATTGCCCGATCCTTGCACGCTGTGCTCGTTCTCGTGGAAGCGTTCCCGGGTCTGGACCTTCTTCCACGGGCCCTCGCCACGATACTGGACGTACTCCATCTGGGGTGCGTACGCTACTACTTATGCTCCGCCACCTACATCCTCACCCGCTGTCTAGGATAGCTCTTCCGCCGTGTCTCAGGATGATATACGACGTCTTATTCGTGAGGCCCTACAGGAGATGGCCTCTCCTGCTGAGGGCACTACTTTTGCTATGGGTACTATCTCTAGCCCTCTTCCCTCCAGGCATCTTGACTACGTAGCTGCCAATCACATGGAAAGTGATTGTTCTTCGTTTACTCATGTTCGTCCTAGTTCTGGAATTTACCTGCAAGTAGCAGGTGGTTCCACTATCTCTGTTGATGATGTGGGTATTGTTCGTAATAATAGGTTGGAGCTGTCAGATATATTTTATGTTCCTAAATTGGTCTCGAACTTGGTTTCAGTGGGTCAACTAGCAGCTGAAGGGTGTAAGGTGATATTTGATGCTCATGGTTGCGCTGGGCAGGACACGAGGACGGGTAGGGAGACCGGAGAGGGACTAGACATCTACGTGTGTATATTATGGACAACTTTTCCCGCCAACCGCCGGATCGAGGTGGAGTGCTCGGGCAGTTCGGTGATGCCGATCGACGTACACACTCTTTGGCGAATTGTGTGCTTGAAGTTTCTTTGGATTCTTCTTTCTCTGTTCAAAATAATAGTTATTCAGTTCGGTTCTCAGATTGCGATTTTTAGCATTATCGGTTAGGCCACCCTCATAAAACAAGATTGTTTGAGATGTTTAGGAATAATTGGTTTTCAGGTTCTGTTCATACTATTCCTGATCATGAGTGTGGAACCAAAATTTCTCACCGCTCTTTTGGTACTAGTACTACTATGTATTCGAAGCCTTTTGATTTGGTCCATAGTGACTTATAGGGCTCTTCTCTTGTCACTGCTCGGCTGTGGTTTTGATACTTTGCTTTATTCGTCGATCAGGTCACTCGGTTCACCTGGGTTTACTTTCTTAAGCAAAAATCAGAGATGGTTGATGTTGCTCGTGAGTATATCCATATGGTTTCTACTAAGTTCTGCAAGGTCATCAAGATACTATGGTCGGATCTTGGGAGTGAATTTGTATCTCACCCACTCCATGACCTCTTTCGCTAGCAAGGGATCCTTCCTCAGTAGTCTTGTCCTGGTGTCTCGTAGTAGAATGGGGTGGTGGAACGCAAGCACTGTCATGTCCTTGAGCTTACCCATGCCTTACTCTTTCGATCTCGAGTTTCTCCTATCTTCTGGGTCGAGGCCATTCATAATGTAGTGTACTTGATTAATCATCAAGTCACTCCGGTTCTTGATCAACAGAGCCCCTACCAGGTCTTTTTCTTGCGTCTTCCAGATTATAAGTGGCTTCGAGTTTTTGGGTGTAATTGTTATGCCTTCTTCCTCGTTGGGAACGTAACAAATTATCTCCCAAAACTGCTAAGTGTGTGTTTGTCGGGTATAGTGACAAACACAAGGGATATGCGTGTTATGACGTTGCCAACCAGCATTTTCGTATCTCTTGTCACGTGTTTTTTTTTAGCATTCTCCCTATTATATGTCTGACCAGTCAGTTGATAGCTCTCAATGGGATTTTTGGCTCCTCTTCCTGCCTTTTCAGCGCCCTCAGTTCCCCTCGTTTAGGAAGATGACGATCCCCCCTTCTTCGCTGCTAGCCAGCTCGTCCTCCTCTTCTTCTGCCTCCACTGGTCCCTCTTGTTCTTCTTCGTCCTTGACTTCCTCTAGCCCTTCGATACCAAAGGGAAGCCTCCTGCTCGTCATTCTACTTTCGTTGCATACTCTGCCATGTCCCCAATTTTTGTTCCTGCCACATATAAGCAAGCTCAAGGTCTTCCATAGTGTGAGGCGACTATGGATACTGAAATTGATGCATTGGAGGCTCAACACACTCGGGATCTTGTTCCTCGGCGTCCTAAGATGACTGTTATTGGTAGTCGAAGGGTTTATGCACTCAAGTTTCTTATTGATGGGTCTCTTGAACGTCAGAAGGCTCGTGTGGTTGCTCAAGGGTTCCTACAGCAGTTCGGTGTGGATTATGAGGAGACGTTTGCTCCTGTGGCTAAAATGCAAACTGTTCGAAGTCTTATTGTTGTGGCCGTTACACAGGATTGGCCGTTGATACAGTTGGACGTCAAGAATGCCTTTCTGCATGGAAATTTGAAGGAGACAGTGTCCACCGGGTTACACAAAGGGGGATAGACCATGGTTTGTCGTCCTCGTTGGTCACTGTATGGTATGAAGCAGGCCCCCAGAGCTTGGTTCGAGAATTTCCAGAGTACGGTTCTTCGGTCGGGGTTTGTTCAGAGTCAGAATGATCCCTCTCCGATTCTTCGTCATACATATTGTGGCAGTCACAGTCCTGCTGATTTACATTGATGATATGATCATTAGTGACAATGATCAGGCAGGTATCCAGTTTCTCAAGGTTACTCTCCGAGATGTGTTTAACCTCAAAGAACTGGGTACATTATCTTACTTTTTGGGCTTGGAGTTTAATTGATCGGTGGCAGGTATTCATGTGTGCCAACGTAAATATATTGTCAATCTCTTGGAGGAGGCACAAATGGATACCTACGACTCTTGTGCAACGCCGATAGAACAAAATTTCAAGTTAACACTGTCTTCTGGCGAGATACTACAGGATGGTACTCTGTATCGCAGTATTGTGAGCAGTCTGATATATCGTACTCACACTCATACTGACATTGCCTATGCAGTACAGATTGTCAGCCAGTACATGTCTGCCCCTCGGACTCACCATTGGTGTGCCATACAGAGGATCTTGCGTTATTTACGGGGCACGCAGACTGTGGGCTTAAGAAACAAGATTGTGTCGTGAAGTCCTCTACTGAAGCGGAGTATCAATCGATGAGTGAGGTTACTTCTGAGATGGTGTGGCTGCAACGCTTCTTCACTAATTTTGGCGTGGTGTGTCGTACTCCTATTCGTCTCTATGTAGATAACACGAGCGCGATTCGGATGGCCACCAACCCAGTCCTCCACGACCGCACCAAACACATTGGGGTTCATGTTCACTACATTTGATTTTTGGTGACGGAGGGGACTATCGAGCTTGCTTATATCACGTCAGAGGATCAGACGGCGGATCTGTTAACTAAGGTTGTTTCTTCTGCATGACATTGGTTTTTGGCTCACAAATTGATGTTGCGGCAACACCATCAACTTGAGGGAGATTGTTAGAAGTTAAAGGTTTAAGTACCATTTTGTAATTAGTCATGTACATAAATTTTCTTTTCTTAGGTGGGTTAGGGCTTGGGGTGGTCGAGTATATATGTGTTGGTGAAGGGCTTTGGCCTATGCAAGTTTCTGTGAACGTGAATAAGAGATCACAGCCTTCTTCCGTAGACTAGTCCCAACGATCATCATTGTTGGAGAAACCACGTAATCTCGGTGTTCTGTGTTGCGTAATCTTTCAGATTTGATTATATTGACAGTAACATACCTCACCAATGAGAACCTCAAAGTGAACAAGGTAGTAGGTAGGGTAGGGTGTACTTATCCTTAGTGAAGAACAATCTAGCTAATAACATTAAATAAGCATTTGCTCGGAACTAACCCTATAGAAGCTGAAATTATGTTGGGAATGCGAATGAGTGGTAGTCTGATTGTTTTCATATCCAGCCACGTGTTCCTTAATTATATTTAATGACTGATTTGGGTGAGTTTTGCATGGGCTTAGACAACTATATGTCCCCCAAGTGTTTGACAAAATATCTCTTTGCAGTTTCACCTTGTTCATGCTTGGGAATTATGTTTTAAGGTAATGTTAGCTTGTTACGAAAAAGTATTTGGTCTAGTGATAATCTGAATCACAATTCGTCATCCTAATTTAAATTTTATCGCTCTAAAACACACTAAATTGACACATTTGTCCCCTAACCCTAATTTCATTGCGGCACTTTGTAGCTAGCACATACACCATCATTACTGATCCTAGCATCCGTGGGAGTGATCCTCAAGCCACAATACGAAAACAAGGGTTAATATAGCGATTGTTGGACTAGGGATAAATAAATCTAGGTGACCATACGAAAACAATGAGTGATCCTCCCATCATCACCCTCCTACTTTCACCTTCCTCTCTTCTACTCGTCCCCCTGGTTTTCCTCTGTGTCTTGTCCCTCCACCGCAAGATCCCACCGCTCACAACGACATCTGCTTAGCTATTAGCCAGATCAAAGTTATTGGTGTGTGTTTGAGTTGTTGCTACTGCTGTTGTTATTGGCGTGTGTTTGAGTTGCTATGCATGGTGATGATTGTCATGAGACCATTGGGCCTCCGGTGAGGTGGTCGGCTCTGGCAAAGATTGGATGTATGTGTTTGTTTTAGGGTTTAAGTATTCGAAAGATAAAAAAAAATATAAACTAAGGGCATTAGAGTAAATATATATAATTAGGGCGACGAATAAGGATTTTTAGAATGACGAATAGCAATTCCCATGGTAGTACTACTAGTTTTGAACTTGAAGATCCCCCGGTTCGAATCCTTTAAATAGTATCTAAACCATAATAAGTAAAAATCTATATCACTCTTGTAAAACAAATGTTAGCTTTGTTGTACAATTTGGGTGGTTTTTTTTTTTTAAACACTCACCTTACTATACATGATACCCACCACGTGTTTGACGAAATACAACAGTGAAGTGCACTATTCAATAGCTAGGCTTTTTTGTGCAAATACTTCGCATAAGACAGTGCCTTTAGAACCATTAACTATCCAAGTTGAGGATGTGCATTTCACTCTCACAATGAACAGATGCCCGGTGTTGTTTGATCTTCTGTTATCCATATTTGGTTCACATAGTCTTTCCATTGGCTCAGTAGGTAACAAGAAAATATGGCATATAGCTGTTTACTGGTTCCCATCCCCTCGGTATAGAAGCCTGCAGGTTGGCTAATCGGCTCCCAGTGTAGGAATTTCGGGTCCAACCAAGATGCTATCCACCAACCTTAATCAATAACGCCAATTAACATGCATAGAGAATGTAGCTTATATCTCTAAAAAGAAACCCAACTTTGTGAATGTGCATATAGGTTCAATTCAGCGTTCATTCTGATATACAGCAGGAAATTAAAGTTAAGTTAGCAATCAAATGGGTTCAAAGGGTTCGTTCGAGAATGCGTGGGCTGATCAATGGGACAGGAATCAGGAGAACCACGGAGACGGCGCCGGCGGGAAAGGAAAGTACTCGAAGAAAATGAAGGGCGGGCTTAACAAAACAAAAGAGGTCGCCACAGCCGGGATGAAGAAAGTGAAAGCGGGCGCCTCTATTGGGATGCTGTGGATCAAGGTCAAGTACCAAAAGACCACCAAGAAAGCTTCTCCTTAATTTTCTTCACTCCCTGTATGTGCGTGCCTGAGAAAATTCTTTACATTTGTTGATTGCATTTTGGTACTGCTTTGTAACTAGGAGCTATCTTTTTGTTGTTGTTCATCACATGGTTTTCTCAGTCTCATTCTTGAAATGGAATTTCAGTGCTTTTTTTTGTGATATGGTATGGTGATTTCAATATAATATAATTTAGCTCTTACAGGAATAGTAAAAATTCGATTTGGCGCAAATAGTGATAATTGATGGAAGGGCCAACAATTGTCGTCTCGCCTGCAAAGATAGGAAGCTGAAGAAAAGGCTTCAAAAATGGCGGATGTGGTGGGTGGGTGACTTTCCACTTTCCACACACCATTATTATCTCTTCCTGCTCTTTTATCAGCCACATGCTCTCACTACAAATCAAAAGATAAAAGCTTTGACCAATTCCCCTGCAGTTAAGTTACTGAACCCTTTTCCCCCATTTGGGCAATTTGGTTTGTCTCTGTTCGGAAAGTACAGAGCCGATCGTTCCATTGACATCCTCGTCGTTGACACATTTCTAGTTTTTGGGTTAGTTTTCTTGACGACGATGTTCAGTTCTTAAAGGGGAATTTGCCAAATTCCTTTTGCCACAAATTAGAAGATGGATCCGAATCCGGCGACCAGCGTACCGGAGGTGATACTGAGCTCCAGCGGCCGGAGGATGCCGTTGCTCGGAATGGGTACGGCGACTTCTCCTCTGGTCGGGTCCGGCGCCACCAAGTCCGCCGTCGTCCAAGCCATCGAGTTGGGTTACCGCCATTTCGACACAGCTACTCTGTACCAGACGGAGGAGTCTCTCGGGGAAGCCATCGCCGAAGCTCTGTCTCGTGGGTTAATCGAATCCCGCGACGAGCTCTTCGTTACATCCAAGCTTTGGTGCAGCGACGCCCATCCCGATCTCGTTCTTCCCGCCCTCCAAAAAAGCCTCCAGTTATATTAATTAACAACCCCTACAATTCCATTTCCCAGCTCCCCTGTTTTTTTTTGTATACCTAGTTTCTCTCGATTTGTGGGGTTAATTGATACGCGTGTTTATGTGGAATTTTTGACAGCCATCTTCAACTGGAGTATCTGGATCTGTATCTGATTCACTGGCCGGTGAGCTCGCGCCCGGGAACGTACGAGTTCCCAATCATGAAAGAAGATTTCATGGCGATGGATTACGCGGGTGTGTGGGGTGCAATGGAGGAGTGTCAAAAGATGGGGCTGACCAAGAACATTGGAGTCAGCAATTTCACCTGTAAAAAGCTCACGGATCTGCTTGCCCTTGCCAACATTCCACCTGCTGTGAATCAAGTAAGTTACACTCTGTTAATCAAGTTTCTTACAGAGGAAAAAGCTCTGTTTTTTTTTTTTTTGAGTTAATGGTGGTGCTTTTCTTTCTGTTGGGGGAATTTGGTTGAAAGGTAGAGATAAACCCACTATGGCAACAGAAGAAGCTGAGGGATTTCTGCAAGTCGAATGGGATCATCCTGAGCGCGTATGCTCCATTGGGAGCCAAAGGAACCGTTTGGGGAAGCAACAGGGTCCTCGAAAATGAAGTCCTTGGAGAAATTGCTCGTGCCAAAGGGAAAACTGTTGCTCAGGTTCGTGCCCTTTTCTTATGTCTAATCCATCTTCGATATGGTCAAAGTTCAGGTTACAAAAGTATTCAACCATTTTTTTCTATTCCACAGGTTTGCTTGAGATGGGCATACGAGCAGGAGGTTTGCGTTGTGGTGAAGAGCTTCAACCAGGAGAGGATGAAGGAGAATCTCGACATCTTCAGTTGGGCGTTTACTGAAGAAGAGAATAAGAAGCTGAGTGAGATCCCCCAAAGCAGAGGATGCCAGGGACAGGATTACATCTCAGACCAAGGCCCTTTCAAGACTATTGAGGAGCTTTGGGATGGAGAAATCTGAATCTGGAGTTGAATTAGTAGTAACATTATATATGTAATGTAGCCTTTTGATGTACTTCCAGCCATGGTCCAGACATATTCCCAAGATGCACTGTTATTAAATCTAGCACGCACATCTGGATGCAGGGGAAGCAGAGCAATTTGTGGATTGGAATTATCCTTTAAGGATAACGCCCACCATTCATCCCAAGGAATGACTACTATTACCTTCTTCGCCCTGAGAATCAAGATCAAATATGACATGAGCAAACAACAGCCATAGACAGGTAGTTCTACAACACAATCTTGTCGCAAATCATAACCCTTGAGTCATGGGGTTTCAAATAAACATGCCCTGATTTGCCAACTCATAGATTGCCTTGCTCGTCATTCAGACCTTCAGGCAAACTGCCGTGTGACCAACAAATGCACCAGCTACCCATTTCTCTAATGTCTCGAACCCACCCCACCAACCACGAATCTTAGAAACAGTAAGAAAGTCACCAGAGTGAACCTCGGCAGGGTTGATAGTGGCTTGCCATGGTTGAGGCCGCTTCTCGAACTTGGCACCCATATGGTTCTGAGGTTCTCTAGAAATGCTAAATTAGAACTCTGACCCCAAGTCGTGTTCGAGAACAACAGCAAAACATATACTAAAGAAAGCAAGGTCCCCATCATTCCTACAAACATTAGAAACAACACCGATACCCCCATGTTGCTTCACCTGCAAACAATTCCAACACTAACATCACCACCAAGCAGTTCTATTCATAACAGTGACGCAAACAAATATAAACTGTACAAGAAAGTCATACATATTCCACCTCCCATGAATCAAACTACAACGCATGATCGCTGGCAGAAAAGTAGTAGTCCCATGTAACCCTATATGGTGTAGCAACTCTTTTTATTCTTCGCCGGGAAGAGGAAATTTTTGAGTTTCTCCAAGAAAGGATAGTTGGACAGATGAGTGTCTGAAGGAAAAGAAAGACAATAGAGACGACTTCTTCCGCTCTGGTCCGTGTCGTGCGAGAATTTTTGCATAATCATCATTTGTCACTTCTTGACAAGGTTGTCAACCGATTAGTCCCTTGGCCTCGTCCTGCAGCAAGTGGATTGAGGATTGAGGATTAATGATCTAATCGTTTTAGCTTAATTTTTTAATTTGGATATATGAAAAAGTCGATTATATTGTCCACATTCATAAATTATTTCAAATCTCATCCAAAATTTAAGTAATACTCATCTAACATACGAGTATTAACACATAACAATACACCAAAATAACATGTCGTACTTGGATCCAACATATAGTGAAAATTCACACATTTATATAACATCAATATTCAAATGTTCAACATAGAATTCCAAAAATTTGGTTAGGCGAAAAAGAAATCCGAAAAATAGACGCATTTAGCAACCAAAGAAAAAAACAACACAATTTGACCTCCAACCACATACTTATCTGTCAACCCGGTGGGTGTTTGCGACCCGTTTTTCTCACTAGGTCTGGGTCTGGGTCAAAGTGGCTCAACCGGTGGGTTGACAATATTGCTTCTTCATTTGAACTCGCAATTCAAATTTTTAGTGCAAAAAACTTTGATTAATTATGTTGTTCAAAATAGTATCAACTTTAATATATTTTAAAAAAATTTAGACTTATATTTGCAAAAAATGTTAGGGTGTTAACACTTAATTTGTTAGCAGCCAATTAAAATACTTTGTTTTGATGACTTCTTTATTCCAAGCAATGTTGTCAGAACCGAACCGGAGTATGACCCGGTAATGAGAACGGCTCGCACTTTAGCGGTCCAACCGGCATTAGACCGTTTAAAAACCGTTAGAGAACCGGTATCTAATAAACGTTATCAGTATAAATAGTGGACATTTCTTAGTCAGAGCTCATCTCTTTCCTTCGAAATTATGAAATGGAAATAAGGATTCAATTTAAGAGCCCGGCATTTTTGATTTATTTCAATTTTCAAATTTCTACAATTTTTTTAATTAAATTTAGTGGCTGAATGGCAAAAACCGGACGAGCGGCTCGATCGGCTCGAACGGTTAACCGCCTCGGCCGCTCACCAACCGCTACATAAAACCAGAGCGGCTTTTAGACTGTTCCGAGCCGATTTTGTGACCGGGTGGCGGTTTTATCGGTCGGGCCGAGCGGCTCGGCTCGGCTTTAATAACACTGATTCCAAGTGATTTACCACGATTAATTTTGAGTTTTGAAGAGATAAACCCTTGTCATTTTAAAAAATTAGAGGGACACACGTGTGTGGCGCTACTCATTTACTTTGCATCTCGCCCCTCGCCACAATTATCATGAAACTTACCAGAAACACGATAAAATACATCATAAATAACATAAAGTAGACCATAAAGCTTATAAAACATACCAGAACCTCACCACAATACCATGATAATTAAGCCAACTTCATTGGACCAGTTTATTTCGATTATATTAGTAACACAATACATTGTCTATTCTCAGTATAACAACAAGCACAAGCAATAATAAATGGTACCAAGGATTACATGGTATACCATTGATTTATGGCTAGTTCATGAGAACAACAACTCTATGGTATTTTTCACCATGATAACAATAGCTTTCAAAGAGTTTTAAGATGTAAGAAAACAGAACACACGATGTTTTCCAAACAGTCTCACTATATCCACTCATAAAGAAAATCTCCCACCATCCTGAAGTTGTGAAAACGTTCCACAACCAAACCCCACTTTTGATATGACTTGAATCGGATTATCAGCCGCTACGACTGGTAATACTTCTCACACTCCTCTGCAATCTAAAATCTCCTTGATATAGTGAAACTGGCTCTCTCTCGCCCCTGGACGTAGCTAACACACATCGTGTTAGTGATCCACGTAAATCGTGTGTCGTGTTTTCGATTCTCGCTTTCGTATTCTTACTTTGTCGATTCCTGTGATTTCTCGATCCGTAGCAGCGCGTTTATAACACCCACAAAATAGAAACATGAACAGAGCTAAAGCAAACATAAGAATAAGATGGAATAAGATAACTTAGGGTTGTAGAAGATGGAGAATTCCTTCTCCTTTTGCAAACGCAAAGTGCAGGATAAAAATTCAATGAGAATGGTTGAGAAATTAATCTCATTAACCATCCAAATTCCCTCTGTCTCATGCCTTTTACCATTATTTGTTCATTCATTATCATCAATTATCACTACATACCTCACATGCTAGCAGGCCCAACAATTCTTCCCGCCCATCAACATGGGAAGAATCTTGATACACATATCTTATCCATCTCATATATTTGGACATTCTCCAATTGTAGCTTCATTTGAAGCACATCCCATATCTAATGATATTGAACATCGACATGTTTTAATGACATGAAATGAAGTATATTATGCATTATGAATAACACTCTAACTGTTAGAGAATAGTTGCAGCCATTCTTGTTGGAACTCATGTTCTTTCAGAACTTATTCATCCATAACATCTCCTTACATGCTTTCATTGTTGCTTGCACTAAGCTTTTGTAGTGGAAAGAGCTACACACTTTTGTAGCCTTATTGCTCCCACAAATAAGGTAATAAGGTATCTAAAAGTATACCTTCTCTTGTGTCTATCATATCTTCTTGGCACCTCAATCTCAAAGGATCTTTATGCCAAGAATCGACTTGTTGTCCACATAGAGCAACAATATAATGAAATCACTATAGGAGAATTTCTTCATGAACGCTAAGTGTTTCGAAGTATTCTTGTAGCCTTGTTCACAATAACACACTCAATCTTACTCTACCACTACCTCGGTGTCTGCTTCAAGCCATGCATGTTGTTTATAAGCTTGTGAACATAGTCCTCATTTTTCTCCATCTTGAAGCCTTATGGTTGCTTAGATGTAAATATTTTCCTCCCAATCACTAACAAGAAAGGCAGATTTCACATCCATTTGCTCAGCCTCTAAGTTAAGACTTGTTGCTAGTCCTAACACATCATACAATACAATCCAATAAAGCTAATTGTATTTCTATGTCATTGCAACTTATTAATTGTTGATCGAGTTACTCTCTCTACAATGATGAGTTTCATAAGTATTTTGTGTGAATACCATACGATTTTCTATCATGCTAATATACAATAAGTACACTCTTGTTTACTTCATTCGTCCACCATTCATTTGATGTGATACTGATCCATAAGAGACTTCATCGAAATGGTTGGGACAAAAAGGGATTAAATTACCAAAGCTATAGTTTTCTTCCCTCCCTATAGGGAAATGATTAATGGAGAAGCTCATCACTTGTACATCACAAAACAACACCAATATTAACATCACACTAATTTAACTTTAGAAAAGTCGCAGGACAATAGACCACTGATTCAAACAATAATTACACATCAAAGATTCATTGTCTACCATACTATCACGAGCTTAGGATAAAGTCACGCATAAGACAAAACACTATCAAATCAAGTCAAGCATGGTGGATCGAAACATTAAAGTTTGCGATAAACCCTAACAAATCGTAACCTAGAAGCCTCAGTCACCACCGCCGATTGGAACCAAAGATATCTAGCAAATGAAAATATAAAAACGAGAGTAAAGAGAGGTTGAAAGAGAAGAGGCTTACTAGTGGCAATATCTTGATAGACCAACATGATTGTTGTCACAAAAGTTTTGTTCTAAGTAGTACCGGAAGACGGATGGAACAGAAGATGTAGCTGCAAGCCACAAAAACTAAAGAGCTAGACATGGTTTGTGGCCTGAAGGATAGAATGTCACAAAAAAATATATACAAACATATCAGAAAGCGAAAAATTCTTTCAGAGCGTTAATTGGAAATAACAACTCATTCTCCAATTATTTTGAATACAACATTTACATATTATTTGCTAACATATTCCATCATTGTGCAGCCAAATGTTTTATTTTGACCCAAAAACAAAATGTTCTTCCAAAAATAAAAATAAAAACAAAAGATCCAAATAAAAAGCATATTCCATCGTCCAGAATACCAGACATAGATAATTAGACTTTGTGGTTTCCCCCAATATCTCAAACTTTTACTTATTAATTTTTGAAAATCTTAGCATCCTCAACCTAAAAACAACAATATGGTAACAAGGGCATGACAAAGTGCAAAAGTACGAAAACGTATGATTATTTTTTTGTCATAAACAGAAGACAATGATCATAAGAACACTTCCTGTCATGCTTTGTTTTTCTCTCTTTGGAAAATGGTTCTATAATTATTATTCATACAGCATGCATATCGCATTCTCATGTAGAATGATCATAAAAATACACCATCAAGTTGTCATTAAAGGTGAATGCCCTACATATAATTACTAATCGATAAAGTTTGCTAACTATATTTAATAAAAGAGTATCCACCCGTAGCAGAACAGGCCCTTTTAGTGGGTTTTTGCCTTTTTGGACAACCCAAAATTTAGAGGAAAGATTAAGGATCTCTCATAGTAGTTTGAGCTTAGAAAAAAAATACACTGTAGCCTCTGTGACTCAAATTTGGACACTACAATTAAGAAATAACATATTAGTCATTACATTGCAAATCATTTGTTATTATATTAAAATCATAAATATAATAATTATAAGCTAAAATAAAATAAAACTCTAATTAAATCCCAAATTCTCTAATTTTTCATCAAAATGCTAAATTCTCAATTCTCCGCTATTATGACACTAGCAAAGCAAAGTAAAATACAAGGTTGGTTGTTCTTCACGCCCTCTGCATCAATCGTTCCCATGAACCAAACCCCAGTCCAACGGTTAGCCTTCACCCTCCGGTTGCTGCCTTGCTGGCTTCCACTTTTGTAGACTCCAATGATATTCTGTGTAATATTTTTGTAGATTGTACTCGTATGATATTTTCATATTAAAATTATTTTAAATTTATTTCATAATAAAATTACGCATTGATAGTTTATTATAATATATGTGTAATAGTCTGGCTTATTTATTTAGTTACTTAGTTAATTTATTTCGGACCCCAGTGCTATCAACATTTACTTAACCATAGAAAAAGGATGAAATGGATGCACGAACTCATTGTCGAATGCACTACGCCACTACCCCACATTTTCACCGAGACCAGATATGATGACAACACTCATTGTATTATTAGGGTGACAATATTAGTATCCAACCACCAGGAGATTAGGATTGTGGTTACTTTTATTAGTTAGTGGCTCAATTTAGATAGTTTAAATTCATAAAAGTGTATAATAATCATATAAAATATTACATTTAAACTAAAAATACACATAGAAATTAATGGTACAATTTTTTTTTTCAAAAACTACCCAATTTTGAATGTCGGAATCCAGTTGTCGATCACATGAATTGGGTCACCGGAATTTGATCACCACAATTTGGAATCCGATCAACGTGGTCAGAAATGCTCATCAGTGTCAGAATTCGCCCATCGTTATCGAAATATGCTCAATGTCTCTGGAATCCAATCATCTTAGCAGAAATATGCTCACCATCATTGGAATCCAGTCACAGAGGCCGTCGGAGTCCGAACTTCAGTTGCCAGAGGTTGGTCAACAATCTTCAGAGTCTAGTCAACAATCAATAGTCAACCAAATTTATGGCATGCATTATGAGATTTGTGAGGTAAAATACCTCGTGTACCACTAAAGTATGAGAATTGGGGGAGTTATACCTAGGGGTGTACAAACCCACTCGCAAACCGACCCAGCCGTCCAACCCGGCCCAACCCACCCGTATTTATTGCTAAAATGAAGGTTTTGGGTTGGGTGAGGGTTTTCTTTTGTACAACCCATCTCTTTTAGGTTGAGTTTGGATTTTGGATTACACAACCCGTAGAACCCGACCCAACCCATGTTCCAACTATAGGTATGAGTTCGTATCAAAAAAATATTTATGTCGTATATAGCCATACTTATGAGAAAATTAAGATATTTCGCCATGTTTTTCTCTCATGGTCTCACTAATCTAATGCATTCTTCGGCTTAAAGTTTAGACATAATTTAATATAGCAATGATTCACGTAAGCCTTTTTCTAGTTTACAATTTTAATAAAATAACATATTATAGATGCGTTCATTTATAACCTTTTTAGCCTATTTCAACAAATGTCGTGAAAAAAACTAGACATAAGTTGAAGTAAATCAAATTTTATTAAAATTCAAACAACATTTGTGAATTTTGATACCTTTCACCTTGATTTATTCATTTGAATTTTTAATTGGTTATAAAATATTTTTATGGTGTAGAATAATTACATATTTTGTGTTGAGTTGGGTTTTTACTTAAAAATATCGTCAACCCGACCCAACCCAATTAGAAATAAACCGTAGGGTTTAACTTTTTTGGGTGGGTTTGGGTTTAATATTTCTCAAACCGTAGTGCATGGGTCGGGTGATTAAAATGTCTAAACCCGGACGACCCAACCCACGTACACCCCTACTTATACCACTTAAGTATGAATAGTACGTCGGGTACCACTAACGTTATTGAATTGTGCATCCGTTTAAATTTCCGTCCGTCTACCGTTAATAACGAATAACATATTATTTTTTGTAAAAATTTATATAATTTGAAAAATTAAAAATTAAAAAAAATCTCATCCGTCTCCACCACGGCCCGGCGGGCGCTAGCCCCGTCCATCTTCTGTTAAACTCGGCGGCGAAACCCTCACCATCGCTCAGGTCGTCGTTATTGTCAGCGCCGCGATGTGACGAGTCGGGCTCGCTGAATCCGCCAGAGCCGTCGTCAAGGCTAGCAGCGACTGGGTTATGTGAGTGAATAGCAAAATCAATAAAACCTTTTGATCTTTTTTTTACAATAAAGCTTTTGATTCTTGCTGTCAAGTGTAAAGGTATGAATTGGAGTCCAGCGGCGGTGAGGGTTATTTTTAAAGGGCAAAATTTGGCTGCTGGCTGTGTTGCAGCCCTCCGCTGCTACCAGCCATGTGGCACTATGTGATTGGTTTCATTTGGTTAATTAATTATTACTTTGATGCTGGTTAAAAAAGGACGGAACAGAAATTGAAAATTGGATGCTCTTTTTTTTACGGGACGCGGACGTAAGAGCTGGCCGACGTCAAATGATTTATTTTGCTTTATATTTTGTTTTATATATATTTTTTGTTATCATGCTTCATATATATTGTTGTGGTGATTTCGCTGTACAATAATAACAAAATCATCTCATATCAAAGGAAAGCCATCATGTTTGGGTCATATTAGTTTTAAATTCTAATTTCTATCTATCTAAACTTTTCTGTAGATAGATATTATAGTTGTGTTACTCTATATAATATTATAGTATTTCTCTTTTTTCAAAGATAGTGTAATAATAACAACATAAGATAGCATAAATCAAACTACGAAACCAAATACGATAGTCGACAAATAAAAATTAAATCTATGTTTAAAAGCGAAATCTAAAAAAGATAAAAGAAACGTAACGTAATCTTAAAGAGGTATGATGAAACTATTATAAAAAAGAGGCATGATGAAACTTTACAATTAAAATTGAGGACGTAGGCAAAAAACCTATAGGAAAAATACCTTTTTAATGGTGGCTTATACGGTATTCCAGGTGAAATTCAAGGTACTGCATACCTTGAGTATGAAAACACTATCTAGACCTCGAATTAGCAGAATTTTTGGGATTGATACTATGCCCTAAGTCCTAACCCTTAATGTGTGAACCCTAGGTCCTAATTATCTAAATCATAAACTATAAACCCTAAGATCGAGCATTCATTTTTTTGCCTATATTTGGATGAATCATAGCCGTCGATTATTGTTTCTAATAAAATTAATTTTGTGGTATAAGATTTAAGGAACTAAGACCTAGATTTTGATCTTTACGTATTAGAGTATAGTATCATCTTCAAAAGATTAATCAATTCAAAGTCTGGATAGCATTTTCATACTCAAAGTATGCGGTACCTCAGATTTCTCCCTAGATAGTGTAGAACTCAACCCTTTTTTAATAATTTTTACACTTTAATTGATAAAAATTGATAACACAAATATAAATAAAACAAAACATAAAGCAAAGTAACTAATTTGGCGACGGCCAGCTCCTCCGTCCGCGTCCCGTTAAAAAAAAAACTCATCCAATCCCACTTTCGTTCCGTCCAAATCCAGCATTCAAGTAATAAATGATTAATCAATTTGAACCAATCAGACACGGCCACATGGCTGGGTAGCAGCGGAGGGCTGCAACCCAGCCAGCAGCCAAATTTTGCCCATTTTTAAATTTGACCAAAAGTTATATCTTTATTCATTGTTAACGGTTGATTGACGGAATTTTAAACGGATACTCAATTCAATGACGTTAATGGTACCCGACACCCTATTTGTATTCAAGTGGTATAGCTTCCCCAATTCTCATATTTTAGTAGTACCCGATGCATTTTATGTCGAGATTTGTTGTTTTCTTTCTCATGTTTCTGGTCTGCCTCTTTTGATTTGCTTTATTGTGTTGCTAGTCTGCATTAAGAAGTTTCTGGCGTGCTTTCAAAATATGTGAGGTTTGTTGTGTGATGTGTATGAGAAGTTTCAGGAGATTTGTGGTATGCATTAGGAGATTTGTAGTGTGCTTTAGAAATATTTGCAATTCGTTTTGTACTGTTTCTTGTCTGTTTCATGAAATTTGTAGTATGCATTAGGAAGTTTCTGGTGTGCTTTAGAATTATCTGGGGTGTTTTTTGTCTCCATCATGACATTTGTGGTCTGCATTATGAGGTTTTTGGTGTGCTTTAGAAATATTTGAGGTATGCTTTGTGGTGTTTGTGGTATGTTTTGAAGTATTTATGGTTTGCTTTCTTGTATTTCTGGTATATATGCTTTTATAAGATTGTGGTATAGTTTATGAGATCTCTTGTATGCTTTCGAAATTTGTGATATGCTTATGAGACACAAAAATACATAACAAAAATTTCTAAATACATATTAGAAACACAACAATGCATACAAAAACCCTTCTAAAGCATACCAGAAAATCTATATTCACTAAAATAAATATAATCACATTACCTAACAAAACTCAACAACACATTCCAAAAATAATGGTACTCACAAATATCACCTTCAAATAGAACATTTTGCCACTAAAAATCCAATATATGCAGTTATGATTTATGAATCAATCGGTTAGGTTTTGTAATATAACTTGTCAAAGCATAAGGTGATATGGCCATTTTTTTGTGTCTTCGGAGGCCACTTATCCCTCCAATGGAAGGGCACCAAGAACACTAAACAAATGCGCTCTTACTGATTTGTCTAGTCTCCAAACGTTATAAGCATCTCTGCCCATCCCAAATATTATGCGTATCTTTTTTGTTTCCAGGTACAACATAAGGCACAATATTTATCTCCATGGGCTCGATTATCTTGGAGGGGAGAAGAACAGCGGAGTTGCAGGACAAGGAGAACCAGAGTTGCTGATTCGGGCATAATTATACATATTTACCCTTCATTTTTTGATCATTTGACTTCGTAATCATCGTCACTCGACCTATTTTATGTTAGATTGTGCTTCTTTTATTATATTTCAAAGTCCTTCTACGTGTGGCAAGTCGAGGACGAGTTTCGAGACGATTGGAGTTTGAAAAAATGTCAAAAAGTGAAGAAAATGCCAAAGTGACGGTTTGGAGGTAATATTCACGGCCCTTAGGCCGTGAAAATTGAAAGGATCAGAAGGATTTGCATGCCTCGATAGCATATCAATTGTCACGGTCATTAGACCGTGACAATTGTGAAGAGGCCGTGACATTGGACTAAAAAAACAGGAAACTGATGCCTCTTCGTCCGAGATCATGGTCGGGCTGCCGATGTCACCCCGTGACATCTTACAATGATTTTGGCCTTCGGGCTATATAAAAAGACAATAGTAGGGAGAGAGAAAGGAGAGCTGGTTTTTGGAGGAGAACTTGATTCTCTTTCTAAGGTTTCGGCCCAAAAACAAAAGAGGAGTTTTTAGAAAGAGAGAGAGGCCTATTCTCCCCCTCCAAACCGTGGTTAAAGACATGAATGGGTGGTTTTATGTATTGTGACATATTCTATGTTTGATTGATGATTTTATCTATTTGATGGATGGTTTTCATGATTTTGGATTCTACTTCATGTAAATTGAGCTTTTGACATAGGAGGGAGATAATCCCATTAGAGCTCATTATTAGCGTCTTCGAGTCACTCCTATCATATGTTGTCCGTGTAATCCCTGAGGGAGTTAATTCGATCGAAATCCAATGTGAATCCCTTGGTTGAATAGAGCACCACCCATCCATCACTTCGCCATTCCAGGTTAAATCCAAATGAGTCTATCTCATAACGGTAGGTCAGTGAGTCAATCGAGCTAGAATGGTACTCAACATTGATCCAAATGATAGAAGTAGGGGGATTCAAGCTAAAAGAGCTCTACAACTTGTAATTAGCTAGGTTAGTGGTTAGTTAGGTTAGTTAGTTTAGTTTTCCTAATCACTATTCTAGGTTGGCTAGATAACAAAACCTAACCCAAAGTAAAGTACACCTAGGAGACCCGTGGTTCAATATTTTTATTGCTTGCTTACCATATGCTACACCCGATCGTCGGTTATACTTAGTCTTCGATTAGGATGTGTAGTTAGACGGAGCCAAGTTGTTGGCGTCATTGCTGGGGAAAATTCTAGGTTATCGAAAAAAGCGCTTAGGTTGTTACTTTAGCCGTTTTGTTTTTGTGTTTTTTTGACCCACTCTTCATCTTGAAGGGTGGTTTGTGTGTTTGATTTTCTTTTAAGTGTTTTTGTTTGTGTAGATTGAATCATGGATCACAATGGCTTCTACAACATGTTGGGGTATCCACAACCACCCAAATGGGGGTACCTCGGTACTTCATGTAGTAATCTAGAGGTTGGAAGCCTAGGAACCGTGTTCTATGATCAACCTCCCTTCGAAGAAGAACAAGCATACCGTTGCGGATATCAAGAAACTTCCTCATACCAAGAAAACATTCCTCCACAAACTGAGGAGAAAACCAAGTTGGAGTTGGCAATGGAGACTTTCATGGGACATTCCTCAAGACCATGTGCCAATCACAACCGGAGCCAAAGTGCGAATTGGAGCTCGAGGTGGAGTGGTTTTCTCAAGGCACCGACATAGGATGCTTGAACTTGGATCGCCCACAACCCGAAGTGAAGTTCAAATAGGAGCTTGCCATGGAGAACTTTGAAAGAGCATGCTCCAAAACGGATTTACAACCCCTCCCTCCACCCGGTTTGATACTAGAAGAGAAGGTTGCACGAGCTTGTGCATGCCATCGCTTCTCGCCATCGGAAGAAGTAGTGGAAGTTAGAAGGGCGGTCCATGAAGACTATGGGGAATAAGAGGTACTCACCCTGGAGAGTTCCTGCGGTGAGGATGATCAAGAGTGTCTCATTGATGACTATCATCACTCTCCTCTTCCCGAGAACAACTTTCAAGACAAAGTCACGAGGGTAGATGAGCAAGAGAACCAGTTCAATGATCTTGCATGGTATATTGCCCTCCAAACTGTGCTTGAAGACATGAATGGGAAGGACAAGGAAGAGGAAGATCTTGGTTGTTCCCAAGGGTAATAACAAATTGAAGAAGAGTGAACGGAGGTTGAGGTTGAAGAAGCAACTGAGGCCCAAGATGAGGACGAGGTCGAGGTGGATGAAGCATATACAAGTTACAAATACTATGAAAGCTTTCCACCTTACCTCGATGCACTTTTGGAGAAGGACCCGTTTGTGGCTCTTTGCCAAGCCAAGGCCAAAACATCATCAATCCCTCTTGGTGGATGCGATGGCGGTCAATCCATGATGCACTATATGGTGTGGGGAAAAGAAAAAAAGAAGAAGAGGTCTTGTGGGTAGAGCCTCAATTCACATCATGTTCACGAGCCCTCAAGCAAAGACTCGTTCAAAGCTCGTGACTTTAACACCACATCACTAGGGAGAATCTCAACTTCAAGGAGGTGCTCGGATGGACGGAGACTTGAAGTGCAACCATCCGGCTCACGAAGTTAAAGAAGCGCTTGTTGGGAGGCAACCCAACTACCACTCGGTCTGTTTTCTTCTCGCTTGAATAAGACAAACTTTGAAGAGCTTTTGGTGTTTTGGACGTGGCCTAGCTCTTCCAGATTTCACCCATCCTCCTATCCCGTCCACCAACATTCACACACTATCCGGTAACATCGTTCTACCTCCTTATTTTATTCCATTAAGAGCAATGTCGAGCTTAAGTGTGTGTGGGTGGTGGGGGGGGGGGGGGGGGGGGGGGTAGTCTATTATGCTTGTGTGTGAATGATTGGAGTGATTTGGAGTGCTTGGAGCTTAATTGAATGCCCAAATTTTAAAAAATTTGAGAGCTCCAAGCAAAACAACTTCTACATTTGCATGATCATAGTAGCACATTTGGTGTTTGTTTTGAATCTCGTGGATATTATCATTGATGTATAGATGACTTGTTTGCAATTGAGAACAACCTATAATGATGACTGAGATTTGCAATAGGATTGTATAAATGTTCAGTTCTCATGTGTCAGCAAACTAATGGATGTTTTGGATTGATTACTCATTTATTACAATTGCTTGTGCATCAAAATTTAGAAATTACAATGAATGATTGAGCATCTAGGTAGCCAAGTGAGATTTTTGCCGCTCGTTTTGTTCTTGTGTGATAGATCCCTCTTACCATGATGTGTAGTATGCACGTTGTCACTGTCAAGGAAGATGAAGGCATAGGTTTAGTCCACCACCCAAAATTTAATTTATCCCGATTGAATTATCACATACTCAACCCTTTTGAGCCGTGCGTCTAAGGGTCTCTCTCGTGTTAGGTAGATTTATCTACTTGAGCTTGATTGAGATAGATAAAGCGACCCTACTTTCTTCGAGTCTACACCTTTGTCGAGCCACCTTTGTGTTTGGAAGCTCCCATCATATCATTTGAGCTTAATTAGGGTTCCACATGAGTGATTTGTGCATGATTTTGCCAAGAATGGAAAAGTGAGTGTTGGAGGAAGTTCTTAAAAGTGAGCTTTGTTCATTAAGTTCAAAATGTGGCATGTGTTGATAGTTCTCTACTAGCCCTCAATAAGTGGTAAAGAAAGGAAAATAAAAGGAAAGAAATAAAGAGGGTTAGGAAGAAAAGAGAGTTGCCACAAAAGTTGATTATGCTCTTAAAAAGTGTTTCTTTGCATGCAAGCTATTGAGACACTTACATGCTTGTTTATCTCCTTTACTCTTGTGCTTGAAAAGTTTGATAGCAAGTGTAGCAAAGAAAGTTTGTTATGAATAGTGTTCATGATTGGTTGGAATTGGAGGAAGTGTGCTTTTTGCCGTTGTTAGTGGTTATTGTTTATTGAGGAAGCGTCTAGATCAAAACTATGGAAACTTGTACTTTGGTTCTAGGTTGAAGTTTTGGAACCTAGCGGCGGATACAGGATATAGTAGAGCACTGAGCCACATTTACATAGAAAAATTAGATATCGTAAACAAAAATAGACTAGCTACATTAACTCTCATTTCAAAAAAAAAAAAAATTTGAAATAAAGCAAACCAAACTCTTAAAAATTTATTAGACTCCCAAGCATAAAGAAATAGCCTGTTATGGTTTTCCCTATATCTCAAACTTCTATTTTCTTAAATTTTCCTAAATTAAAAAAATATCTCAAAGTCTCAGCAACTTCCCATTCTCAATGCTAAATACAACATTGTAACACAGCCGTAATAGAATGCAAGGAACAAACGCTTGATTCTGGGATTAGTTTCTGCTATGCTCTGTTTTGGCTTTCCTAGAAGATGGTTCGACATTACTATTTATACATCATTCACATCGCATTCTCAAGTAGAATTATCACAAAAGTTCCACCGTCAAATTGCCATTAAAGATGAAAGGCCCAGATATACTAACACAGATAACTGCAGATGTTTGATAAACTGTGTTTAAGTAAGAGATTATCAAAACCATGGAAAAGGAAAGGCAAACCTATACGTACACATTCCCCGACGTACAGCTTTTTGTTCAGTACTTCCACATTCGTTCCACAGCAGATGTTATCACTTCTCACATCCCAAACAGGAAGCAATTGGGGTAGCAAGGAATAAAAAGAGGGCTGTTCTCTACCACCAGTGGCTGCCTGAAAGGATTCAATTGAATCTACAACCAGGGAAACAGTCCATTAGGGTCCAGAAATTAAACATAAGCCGAGGACCAGTTCGTTGAACTCCGTATCCGAATAAACCAGCACTGGTTAACTCACAGGAATTCTAATAGGACGGCCAGTCACACTGTGTATGCACCGAGCTGCAAGATGACAAGCTTCTTCGCAGTAATCAGAAAATACCGCTGGAATGTTCATCTCCTTTATCAGCTCCTAATGTTCATTTTGAAGCAACCAGAATGAGCAAACAACTTAAGTTTGTATATATATTTTATGTGATGCATGAAACCTGAAAATTCTATTTTACTATATGCCAATTTATGATTCCCATGTTATACGATTTCACTTTAATGTAGAATCTATAGTCTAAGTATCTTGGTTGTAACATTGTTTGCATATACTAGAGAAATTTTAGTAAAATATAAGCATTATTACTCCTCACGAGTGCCATAATCCACATGAGAGAGAGAGAGACATACTATAGTAGGTAACCAACTTGGATAAGCTGCAATGCCAGCATTAGGAGCAACGACAAGGTGAGGAAATGAATCCTGGAAGATTTGCAGATTATCAGACTAGCAAAGTTGGGATAATACCGTTAAGAACATTGTAGGTGTAAACATATATAAAGGAGAAACATAAACATAACATGCCATACAATTCTCAATCGCGGAACAGACAGAATAACAGGAGGAGATGAAAGAGAGGACCTCAGTTATATCTCTATAACGGTCATGGTAAAATCCTTTTCGCAGCCTTAGTGTCACAGCAGAAGACATGCAAGAGCTAACAGCTGACCTTTTATTCAGGCTGGAAGATCTGCACATGCAATCTGCACCCTGACAATGGGCATAATCATCTATATCGATCTTCTCACCATCCCTGGGTAAAGAGTAGAATGAGAAATGTAAGAGAAGCTGTTGGTAGTAAACTAGTTCAGCAAGAACCAAAAGCTACTTAACCTCTTCTCTGGAATCGCTGGTCCAACAAGCTCTACATGGATGCGTACACCAGGAAAGAGTGCACACAACTCCCCAAAAGCAGCAAGTTGAAAAAGCTCTTTCTCAGGCCCTTTAACAAATTACATTACAAAGAGAGTTAAAAAAAGCTGACATATCAACTACGGTTGCACACTAAACTAATCCAACACATTAGATGAGCAGATAAATTTTTTAGGATCTCAATTTTAAATCTCATGATAATGTATGAAAACAGTAATTACAGGTAAACTTAGCAGTCACTTCACTTACCAAGATAGTGTATAAAGAGTTGCTTGGTCGTCTCAAAACCTGATTTCCCCGATAAAGCAATTCGAGTGGCATAATATACAAGGAGTGGCTGAAACAAAACAAGTTCAGTTCAGTCAGTTTCTGTTTGTATCTTCAAGATAATCAAACCCGAATCCATGGACCCATATACTAATACTATGCTCTCCTTCAACTGGTAACTTGAACTTTTAACTTTTCATACCCAATGAAGAAGCAGAGCAACTGGTGAATGGAGGGGTAGACACCTCCACTCATAGTAATCTTTCCAATTGCTCAAAGCATCCGACTTTAAAGACGCTGGCCCTGCATGAACAATGAAATCACTGCACTGCACATCCATTACATAGCAGAAAATGAAATTCCAGAAACAGCGTTCGTACCACTACAAGGGCATAGCTCGCGAGGGAGATTCCAACTTTCTCGTTCTGACCTGTTAACCGAATCAAATGCCAAAAATTGCTTGTTACTTCTGAACATGAATGAGTTTCCACTACTTCAATCTTGACCCCATTTCTTTTTTCTTTGGTAGAAAGCCAAATTTCAACATCAGATGGGGTCATTTCTCGTTTGGCAGCGCATTCCATCAAAGCAACAACATAGTTGATACGGTTTAAACCAGAAAACCTTGTGGAATCAGCAGAAGCAAGAGAGTCTCCGCAGCCGCATTCATACTTCCACATTCCCAATCCATGGATCCCTCTTTTGCTCAAGAACGAACACCTACTCTCCCGCTTTTCAAACACCTACCAGAAATAGTGCTCTCCTCATATATGCAATTGCGAATCGCACATGCAACTTACTAACCCTATCCCACGATTCGGGGTGGAAAATTTACCTCCAGAGTAGCTTCTTCGGAGAAAGTGAAAGGGAACTCGTTCAAGGCTTCCACGCGCTTCATTTGCTGCTCCAACCTCTCGCATTCTTGCTTATGGTGATCCCAGTGCGAAAGCTAGCTCAGGAAATAGCGTAAACCCCACCGGAAACTGGCCAGGAAACTACTGGACAAAAAGCTGGGAAACTAACCTGATGAGAGACAGAGCAATAAGCAACTGCGCCGCATCCACCGCATCGCCTTGTGGCCGGAGCGACGCACGGTCCTCTGCTTCCCCTACCGGCGCACTCCATTTCTTTAATTGACCTACCAGTTGTATTTTCCTGGGCGCACCCGAAAAAGTTAGTCTCCTAACAGGACATTTTGTTAGGAGATACTGATAGGGTCAGATTTTGGGCCACGTGTGCTTGGGCTTCATTCAACGGAGGAGAGTGGTGGCTCACTTAAATGAGCTGGAGATGGGCTTTCGTGTAGAAGCCGGCCCAGCGTGCGGCGCAGAAGGCGAGCCGAGTTCGTGGCGTGGTGAGCCCGGCTTCAGTTTGGGCGGGATTTTGGGTTGGAGTGGAAAGCGTGGTGGGCCCGGCTTCAATTTGGGCTGGATTTTGGGTTGGAGTGGAAAGAGAATGAAATTTTTGGGCCCCATGTGATATATATGTATGTTTGTTTGGATATTTATTTGTTTTCAGTGGATGTTATTATGTGTTGTGTTGATATTACTTTGAATCATTGTGTTGGATATTTATTTGTTTTCAGTAGCCATCATTAAATTAATATTTACCAAACCCCAAAATAACCCAACCACCCGAAACTGATTACACCAATTTAGAGTTTAAGTTTTAGGGTTTATGGTTTGGTTTTCAATTTGTGAAGGATTGGAATATTGTTTCTTACATCAAATTAAACACACTAGGAAGTCCTAACACGTAAGGCTTGCAACCTTAGTTATGGCTGCCCGCCGAGAGCCCATGGGCCGAAGGCCCATTAAATAATAATAGTTTATGGTTTATGGTTTGTGTTACGGTTTATGTTAAGGGTTTAGGGTCTAGCTTAGGTTTGAATTGAAATTAGTTCATGTTTTCGAAATTTTCTTGGACTTTTCGATATTCTAATAGGGCTTTTTTGGAAAAGTGATTAGGGTTTAGGAATTTTTTTTAGGGTTAAAGGTTTAATTATTAGTCTGGGTGGTGCATATATTTTTTTTTATGTTGTACGGATATTGGGGCACTTTTGATAACTATTCTGATGTGATCTTTTGTTTATTTAAGCATATAGCATCACATACTTAGCCAACCATATTACACCAATTTACGGTTTATCGATTAGCATTTAGGGTTAAGGATTTAGTGTTTAGCGATTAGGGTTTCGGGTTTAGAAGGCAATATTATGAAAATGGTTTTGAACACAATGTAGGGTAGTCGATTTTTGTATGTGGTGATAAAATATTATTATGTGATCGGAGGATATTAGTTGGCGATGTGCGGATATTTTGGTTGTGTAGCAGGATATTAGTTTGTAACAGATGGATATTAGTTAGGGTTGGTGAGGATATTTATTATGGGAGAAACGAATATTAGTCTGGGTGGTGCAGATATTTTTTATGGTAGGAATGAATATTAGTCTGGGTGGTGCAGATATTTTGTTTTTATGTTGTACGGATATTGGGGCACTTTTGATAACTATTCTGATGTGATCTTTTGTTTATTTAAGCATATAGCATCACACACTTAGCCAACCATATTACACCAATTTACGGTTTATCGATTAGCATTTAGGGTTAAGGATTTAGTGTTTAGCGATTAGGGTTTCGGGTTTAGAAGGCAATATTGTGAAAATGGTTTTGAACACAATTTAGTGTAGTCGATTTTTGTCTGTGGTGATAAAATATTATTATGTGATCGGAGGATATTAGTTGGCGATGTGCGGATATTTTGGCTGTGTAGCAGGATATTAGTTTGTAACAGATGGATATTAGTTAAGGTTGGTCAGGATATTTATTATGGGAGAAACGAATATTAGTCTGGGTGGTGCAGATATTTTTTATGGTAGGAATGAATATTAGTCTGGGTGATGTGGATATTTTTTTATGTAGTATGGATATTGAGGCACTTTTGGTAACTATTCAGATGTGATCCTTTGTTTATTTAAGCATCTAGCATCACACACTTAGCCAACCATATTACACCAATTTACGGTTTAGCGGTTAGGATTTAGGGTTAAGGATTTAGTGTTGGCGATTAGGGTTTAGAGTTTATGTGTAGTTGGTATTAGTCTGCGATGGTCAGATATTAATCTGTGTGTGGTGGGTATTAGTATGTGATGGGCAGATATTAATATGTGTGTGGTGGGTATTAGTTTGCTACGGTCAGATAATAGTCTGGGTAGTTTGGATATTTGTTCTGTGTGGATGTTTATCTACTGATTTGTATATGATTACATCAATTTAGGGTTTAGTGTTAGGGTTTAGACTTTAGGGTTTAGAATTAGGGTTTGGAGTTTATGATTTATGATTTGACTTTGGGGTTGAGGTTTAGAGTTAAGGGTTCAAGCTTTGTGTTTAGTGTCTACGATTTGAGTTTTGGTTTCGGGTTTAGAAGACAATATTGTGGAAATGATTTTGAACACAATGTAGGGTGATCAATTTTTGTGTGTAGTGATAAGATATTATTATGTGATTGGAGGATATTAGTTCATGATGTGTTGATATTTTTGCTGTGTAGCCGGATATTAGTCTAAGACATCAATATATTAATCTGTGTGTGGTGGGTATTAGTCTGTATGGTGAAGATATTGATTACGGGCTGACTCGATATTGGTATTAGGCGGTGGGATATTAGTCTGGGTGTTCTGGATTTTGTTTATGGTGAACGGATATTATTCTGGGTGGTTTGCATTTGTTTTTTTGTGGATGTTTATCTATGTTTGTTTGTGTTGATATTTAGTTTAAGCAAATTCATAATAAAACAAAGTCGCTTTTCGATAAACTGCGATACAACTAGTATTTATTGTCATTCCAACTTGGCAATCCCATAATCTAAAATCTAAAAAAGTACAACATAAAAAAATAGAAAAGGAATAGTTCAAATGGTGTCTTGCTTGTGCAAATTCTCGATTATCTTCTTTCTCATGTCCCTCCGAGCCCCCCACGTTTCGATCATGCCACGACGAGGTTGAGATGATCCTTCTCTTACGGTCTCTTCGTTGTTGTTTTTGTTCTTGCCATTGTCCAATATCCCTGGAGCATATATAAATATCCACGTATAAATCAACTGATATCTTGGCCACACAGAACTAATATAAGGTAACTATAATCCATACAATAAAGAGCAAACAGCAAACAAATATCCAAACATGGAGAAAAAATATCCAAACATGGAGTACAAATATCCAGACATAATATTTTCAATATCTGGACATCACAGAACTAACATTATATAAGTAATACCCAGATACAACGAACAAATATCCAGACATAATATAACAGATATCTCAATTGCACAGAACTAATATAAGTGAACTAGTATTCATATAAGGCAGAGAAATATCAAGACGAAATAAATAAATATCCAGACATCACATAACTAATATCTGAACAATCAATTACAGAACAATATCCACATCATAAAAAAGTAGTATCTCAAGCATGCTAATTGTTATCCACTATGAAAGGAACTAATGTTTCAGATCTACAAATCGAATCCTAGATCCCAACCACACAACTATCCAGACAATTGAAAACTGATATCCTGGCTGAACAGAACTAATATCGGAACGCACATAAAACATATCCACAAAACCCAGAAAACAATGAAACCCAGATCCAGTCAAATCCACAAAATCCACAAACCTCAGGAACTCAAACCCATATCCAATCAAATCCACAAACCCAGAAAACATATCCACAAGCATGCTAATTGTTATCCACTATGAAAGGAACTAATGTTTTGGATCTACAATTCGAATATCAGATCTCAACCACACAACTATCCAGACAATTGAAAACTGATATCCTGCCCGAACATAGCTAATATCGAAACGCACACAAAACATATCCACAAAACCCAGAAAACAAAGAAACCCAGATCCAGTCGAATCCACAAAATCCACAAACCCAGCAACCCAAACTCAGATCCAATCAAATCCACAAACCCAGAAAACATATCCACAAAATAAAAAAATAAAAAACAACCCAGATCTAGTCAAATCTAAGTTACCAGAAAACAAATCCATCAAACTCATCCAGTAAAAACGTAGGAAAAGGAAAACCCAGATCTAGTGGAAGCTATGAAAACGAACATGAGTATCCATGACCAAAAGAAAAAAAAAACTCTACTACCTCAGTAAATGAAGTTGTTCTTTCGTCAATGGCTGCCGTCAATCAACCCTTTCGTCGCCGTCGCTTCGTCTGCACCGTCGCCGCCGTCAAACCAACCTGGCCGCCGTCGTCGTTATCGGGAGAGGAAAGGGAGAGGGAGAGGAAAGAGAGAGGGAGTGAAAACAATTGATTTTTGGAGAGAGAGGGGAAAAACGTGTCTGGTGGAGAAAGATTAGAGAGGGGAGGGTTTTAAAGTAAAAAAAAGTGGTGTTTTTTGAATTTGGGGGCCTGGTGGGCCCCATTTTCTTTTTCTGTAGGCTTGGGCCAGCCGATGGACTCGGCTCTCCTCCCTCACATGCTGGCGCCAATCTACCTCCACCGCTGGATCATGGCTTGGAGACGTGGCTGCCCATCTAACCCTATCAGTATCTCCTAACAAAATGGCCTGTTAGGAGCATAACTAGATTGCACAATTTCGCCCCCTGCCGGAGATCGCACCCCCGACGAATAGGGATGGCAATTTCGACCTGACCCGATTTACCCGACCTGTTTGACCTGTTTTGGGGCAGGTCAAACCCGCCTCGTAGGCGGGGCGGGGCGGGCATGGGTACCTCTCATCGACCCGACCTGCCCTGACCCGCCCCATTCTTGACCCGTTCTTGCCTATATTACATATAATATTAGTCAAATTACTTAGGATTTTCCTCTTATTACATTATATTTTAGCTATAATAAAAATGTGAATAAGTGAAAACCTCAATTTCTTCAATAATTTAACTACATTTTATCATATTATGGTTTCTTTCTTGGTCTTTTAATGAAAATAACAAATGTTTCTAATGTTTTTCGCATAAATTACATACCCAATGGGTCGACCTGCCCCAAGCCGCGCCCCGTGATAAATTACCCGACCTGGACCCGACCTGCCATGGGGCGGGTATGGGTATCGAGATACCCGCCCCGGACCTGCCCCATTGCCATTCCTACCGACGAACGAAATTAATGATCTTCCGCGCCATCAGGGCGAGCTGCAGCCTGCAGGCCTGCACCAGCTAACGTAGGCCTGGCGAATTGAGCTTACACAAATTACCCAAATTTGCAACGAAACCCGTTGTTACTTGTCGTTGAAATGGATCTTGGCCCGTCAAACTCGAACTATCAGATCGCAACCAAACCTTTTAATCTCTACATCATAGTCCCTCAAAATTTTCAATTTTCAAATTTTGGTTATTTGTTTCAAATAACCTTTGTCATGTCAGTTTCCAAATACTGGTGAGAGAAAGTTGTACACATTGTTGTCACGCCACTC